TCCAGCCCCATGGGAGGAGACTTAAATCCTAACCCCTTACTTAGAGTCCATTCCAGCTAGCTCCATGCCATATCTAAACTTTTCCTTAGGAAGAACTTTTGTCATCATATCAGTAACATTGTTGTCTGTGTGAACCTTTTTGAGTTGAAACTACTTGTTCTTGGTCACCAAGTGCAACCAATGATATCTCACATCTATATGTTTTGTTCAGGCATGGTACATAGCATTCTTGCTCAAATCTATAGCACTCTAGCTGTCACAGAATACTACATACTCTTTTTGCTTCAATCCCAATTCTTGGAGGAATCTCTTCATCCAAAGCATCTCTTTACCAGCTTTTATTGTTGCAATGTATTCAGCTTCGGTTGTTGACAAGGCAACACACTTTTGCAATTTTGATTGCCATGATACAACTCCCCCTACAAAAGTGAATAAATACCTTGAAATAGATTTTCTATTATCAAGGTCACCTGCCACATCTGCATTTGTGTATCCCTTTAGAATTGGTTCAGTCTACCCAAAAGTCAAACACAATTTGGTAGTTCCTCTCAGATATCTGAAGATCCACTTAACAGCTTCCCAGTGAATCTTGCTTGGATTAGACAAGAATCTATTCACGACACCAACTGCATGAGCAATATCTGGCCATGTACATACCATTGCATACATCAACGAATCGACTATAAAAGAATAAGGAATAGATGACATTTTCTCATTTTCTTCTTTGGTATTTGGACAAGATCATTTGCTTAGCTTGAAGTGATTTGCAAGAGGAGTGCTAATTAGCTTAGCATGTTTCATGTTAAACCTTTCAAGCATCCATTCAACATACTTCTCCTATGATAACCATAGCTTCCCAGCCTTTCTATCACGAGTAATAGCCATACCCAAAATTTGCTTTGTTGGTCCCAAGTCCTTCATGTTAAAGGACTTTGATAACTCCTCTTTTAGCTTGCAAATTTTCTCAACATCTTGTTCCAAAATCAACATATCATCAGTATATAACAAAAGGATAATGAACTTGCCATAAGGGAATAATCTAATGTAGACACATGGATCTACATTTGTTCTTTTATAACCATGACTCATCATAAAAGAGTCAAACTTCTTGTACCATAGTCTTGGAGCTTGCTTTAGTCCATAAAAGCTTTTCTGCAACTTGCAAACCATATGCTCCTTCCCTTTTTCATCAAAACCTTTTAGCTTATCCATATAAATTTCCTCATGCAAGTCACCATGGAGAAATGCAGTTTTCACATCTAATTGCTCAAGCTCAAGATTCATACTTGCTGCTAGATTGAGCACAACTCGAATTGAGCTCATCTTCACCATTGGGGAAAATATTTCATCAAAATCAATCCCCTTTTTCTAACTGAAGCCTTTTACCACCAATTGAGCCTTATGTCCAATTATCTTGTCACCATCTTTCTTGAGCTTGAACACCCATTTGTTCTTTAGGGTTTTTCTTCCTTTGGGAAGTTCCACAAGCTCATAAGTATTGTTCTTATGTAAGGTTCATTTCTTCCTGCATGGCCTTCATCCAACAATCTTTGTCTTTATGAGACTGTACCTACTAGAAGTTCTCTAGCTCCCCCTTTTCAGTGATCAAGATATAATCAGAACCAGGGTATCTTGTAGATGGTTTGTGCTCTTTGGAGGTCCTTCCTCTTATGGCAGGGGTTGCTCCCCCTTCTCATTACTTCCTCCATCTACACTTGCTTCATCTTTTTCAATTGTTGGCTCCTCTGTCTCATCTTCTGGTACTTGCACCTCATCTTCATTTGTAATTTTTCTTGAAGAAGTTTTTGCTAGTGTTAGATCTTCTACACCTTCTCCAAAGCTTCTTGTAGCTTTTTCCTCCTTCAAATCATTAATTTTCTCGTGTTCATGAAACACGGCATCTCTACTTCTGACAGTTTTCTTCTTTTCTAGGTCCCATAGTCTGCAGCCAAACTCCTCATCACCATATCCAACAAAAATGCATGGAATGACTTTATCATCCAGCTTTGATCTGTGTTCCTTTGGCACGTGCATAAATGCTTTGCACCCAAACACTCTCAATTGAGAGTATCCAACATCATTTCTCGTCCATGCTTTCTCTTGGATTTCAAAGTTCATAGGAACTGCAAGTGACCGATTGATCAAATACACTGCCGTGTTGACTGCTTCACCCCAAAATGGCTTAGGTAGCATTGCCATTCTTAACATGCATTAGACTTTTCCACAATGGTACGATTCATCTGTTCTGCTATGCCATTATGTTGTGGAGTGCCAGGAGCTGTCTTCTCATGCCTTATGTCATGCATTAGAATTCTTTGGAGGTGTATTCCCCTCCATTATCTGTATGAAGACATTTTAGCTTTAAACCTATCTCCCTTTCCACCATAGCATGGTAATGCTAGAAATACTTGAAAACTTGGCTTTTATTCTACAACAAGTATACCCAAGTTTTCCGAGTCTCATCATCAATAAGGTAACAAAATATTTATTGCCACCAATCGACTCTGCCTCTAGGGGACCACAAATGTTAGAGGAGACCAAGTCTAGCTTGTTCTCCTTCCGAGTCAAATTCTTTTGAAAAGAAACTCGGTACTGCTTTCCAAATAGGCAAACATCACAAGTATTCACATTTTCACTTTTGGCAATAGGAATAAGGGATTGATTAGCCAAAAGTTGCAATCCTTTCTTGCTCATGTGAGCTAATCTATTATGCCATAAATTTGGAGAAGCCTCATCTTCAATTGTGTTTAGTTTACCTCCACACATTTTTATGTGTGTCTTGTATAATGAGCAACATGCTCTTCCTTTTGCCACCACCATTAATCCTTTGCTGAGTTTCTAGCTGCCATTCTTGAAGTAGTGTGTGTATCCTTCTTCATCCAATGCTTTTGCAGACAACAGATTCATACGCATATCAAGAACATGTTGCACATTTTTTAGCATTAATGTACACCCAACATTTGTTTGGACACAAATATCATCAATTCCCATAGTATGAGAAACACTATTGTTTCCCATTTTTATGGTGCCAAAGTCTCTTGCTTTGTCTGTTGAAAAATATTCCCTTTTGGGAACACAATGATAAGAGGCACTAGAATCAATTATCCACTTAACATTTGAGTTTTCTACGTGGCAGCACTCTCCATGATCACATAGTAAAGTCACGTCACCGCCATTGGTAGATGCTACAGCGGTAGTATTGCTATCTTCAACCTTTTTCTTGTCTTTTCCTTTCAACAAGTTGCAGTTCCTTTTCATGTGGCCTGGCTGGCCGCAATGATAGCACTTCACTCTACTTTTGGACTTTGATCTGGATCTGCCTCCTCGTCCTCTAGGTTTTCTGGTCTTACTCCTGCCCCTATTCTTCGTGACTACAGCTTAAGTATCTGACTATGAGAAGATTCTAGTGCCTGCATCCTTTTTTCTTTTTCAAAGATTCTATTTTTGGCGATTTCTAGTGTGACTTTACCACCAGGAGATGAGTTGATCATTGTTGATCTAAAACTCTCCCATGATTCCGGCAAGGTGTTGAAAAGAGTCAGACCATTCACCTCATCATCAAATTCTATGCCTAAATTGGCTAACTCTTTGGTGATGCCAAGGAAATCATTAACATGGTCTGCTGTGGGAGTGCCATCTTTGTACCTTGAGTACATCAATTGCTTTATATGACACAATTTATTCTACCCAATCTTTGTCTAGAAAAGCTCGTCTAGCTTTGTCCATAGTGTGCGTGCATTAGTTTCATCATTGATATGATTTAGCACACTATCATCAATCCATTGTCGGATAAATCCACACACTCGTTTATGGAGCAACCTCCATTCTTCATCCTTTATGTTGTCTGGCTTTTGCTCTAAAAAGACAGGCTCATGAAATTCCTTCACATAAAGAAGGTCCTCCATTTTTCCTTTCCACAGCTGATAGTTTGAACTATTCAGTGTGATCATTTTGCTCTGATTCACCTCCATTGTTCACGTGAATATTAGCACTGCCTAGCTCTGATACCAGTTGTTGGGAAAAATGGCGCGAAGGAATAAACTAATTCATGTGAACAAAACACGTGAACAATAACAAAGAATGGTGAAATAGGCAGCTCAGCCAATATTGGAATCTGTTGGCCACAACAATCCAGATTATATATTAGTTATCAAACATGTTGCACGCTTTTTATAAAAGGATAGTAATTGGTATACAATCGATTTAACATACTGCATAATATACTAAAAAAAATCACTATTTTTTAGTTTGAAATTAAAGATAGATAAGTTTTAAAATATAGTTATGCACATAAGATGTAGTAATTAACTGAATCGATTATATTTATATTAAATTTTTAATAGTTGAATTGAAAGTGTGTTAAAAAATGTATTCAACTAAGGGTGTACAGATCATTTTCTTTTATAAAATCAACTCTTATGGTTAGTAAAAAAATTTAATCTCCTTGCAATGACCCAAAACCAATCTTTTATCATATATTATAAATAATCTTTTGTTGGGGTTATTGTTTTTACCATCTCATAGTGGTGGTCCTTAATTGGCTTT